CACCGGCTGTGTCGAAGTGTGAACTCTTCGAGCGGGGGACTGTGAGGTACCCCTTTGTTAGTTTGGCCGGGGGCAGCGGGTGAAAATTGAGGAGTTGGGAGGAAGTGTGGTGTGCTATCGAGGGGGTCGGGCCCCTCGGTGAAGGTGAGACCAAAAGAGTTTATATAGGTTCGGGCCGCTAAGAAGCGTAACACCCTACTCCTGTGTATAATGATTTTTTCTGAGCTTTCAAAGTCTCTGAATCTCTGGTGTACAAGCTAGAGTTAGCTCAAACTTCAATCTGGGGATCCTCCTCCTTACTAGGCATGGACCTCCTTTTATACTCCAAGGGGTTACCACATGTGCTGTGAGAGCTACTTAGGGAAAAGGGAAAATATTCTCTATATTAAATGCATGTCTTGTGCCTTAACCCAAAAGTACCCAAAAGTCCTGCGCATGTAGGCTGCTGCATGGGGCCCATCAAAATGTGCCAGCTGACACAGGGGACGCCCCCGTCACACACCATTTAATGGATGAGGACTTTTGGGGTGCACGCATGCACCGGGAGCACAATCCTGGTGCGTCCGGAGTGGTCAAGCCGACTCCGGGTTGGATGAGAAGCTCAGACCTCCTCATCATAACGATGGGACAGGGCATACCTGCACACACTGCCTGACACAGGGATAGGGCGTGAGCAGCTTGTCGCTGTCCTATCTGCCATTCGACCGGTCACAAACCGGTCATAGACCGGTCACATGCCAATCAGGTGCGCAGCACACCGCATTAAATGCGGTGTGGCGCGCCTGCTCCGTGCGCACTGAATGCGGTTAGGTGGACATTGGGGGACGCCCACCTAACCTCATACGCGTAGCGGCCACTTGGTGGCCGCGGGGAGGGGTCGGGGTAGCCCGACCCCTTGGGCTTGAAAGAGATGGCCGGCACCCATCCATGGGCCCGACCCCCTTGGGGGGAGAGCCATGTGGATGCGGGGGGCGGCCTCTCCCTTCTAAGCTTCGTACCCCCGGGCCCATATCACCGGCAAGCTGTGATGATGGACGGATCCAGCGGAGGCGGCTTCTCCTGTGCGCAGGGTGGTGGCAGCGGCGGATGGGTTTGTGGTTTTGTGCTTTGGGGATGTTTTGGGGGTTTGTGATTTGTGCTAGGTTAAATCGTGTTTTGTGTGATTTGTGTCGTGTTGTTGGATGGATCTATGGTGGTTTTGTGTTGTGTGCTTTGGGGATGTTTATAGATGGATGGTGATGTGGATGTAATGGGGAGCCAACTTTTATTTGCATTCAGTACCGCCTTTGTGATGCCAATTGGGAAATCGATACCTATGGGGTTTTTTCAACCGGCACCAGTGGCCTTTTTTTTTAGTAGTGCCCTCTTCTTTCTCTTGGAGTTGCTCATCTTCATGTATCTTTTGTGTAGTTCTTGGTATGTAATACCCACTAAAGCTAACATATTATCATCCACCAAGGACATGCCTAGCACAAACTGACTTTATCTATATCTATTTAGGGGCCAACAAAGGCTTATCCGTCTCCTGCTCTTTCGCCATCTCCTTACCCTTACCCTTTCAACTTTCCCCTTTCCCCTTCCATGTTGAATTCTTTTGCCAATTGGTGGGGAACTACCGGCCTTGAGGGTAACTGGAATCTGTTAGATTAATGGGCTAGGCCCAATTAAATCCAAATAAATTCCATTGGCCCACATTAAGTGCTATGGCTAATAATACCACCTTAGAAATCTAAGTGAAGAGAACTCAACTTAAATACGGAGCTAGTGGAGAGTCTCTGTTGATTGGTTGAGATGGTGCGCGGATAGCCAGGCGGGGCGGGGCGAGGCGAGGCAGGCAGCAGCTGTTGCTGCTGTTCTCTCTCTCGTTTTGTAACTCACGGTAATAAACACAGAAAATTGATTTTGTATTAATGAGCGCGTCGGTTACGGAATTAAATGTCGTGAATTGATTCGGTTATGGAATTAAACGTCGTGAATTGATTCCGTCAGTTACGGAATTAAAGCCTTGAATTAATTCCGTATTAACGAGCGCGTCGGTTACGAAATTAAACACCGTGGTTGATGACTCCGAACGTTACTCTCGCGCTCGCATATATATACTCTGCAGCGACCAGAAGGACGCGTTGATGTTCTTCCCGAACGAGCACGTCGGTTACGAAATTAAACACCGTGGTTGATGACTCCGAATGTTACTCTCGCGCTCACATATATATGCTCTGCAGCGACCAGAAGGACGCATTGATGTTCTTCCCGACTCTTGCACTTTGAGTTCCTCCTCCTCTGTTCCCGAGCTGCAGAATCCTTCCCCGGTTCTGTTCACCTGCGTGCACAGGTGTACGGGACAAGCAGGTGCCTCCGGAACTCCGTCCGCTTGAGAACCTGCACGGGTAGGCGGGCAATCAAGTTTTTGGGTAGCGCTTCAAGTGTGACTGCTCCTGTTCTTCGTTCTTCAACGACAACATTGCATCTTCCTCTGCTTCTACTTCACCATGGCTTCTACTGGAGAGAACGGAGGAGACAACATCAACGGAGGCAATACGAATGCCTCAACATCTTCTGCACCATTCTCTGGTTATAAGATTCTAACTTTATTTGATTTTCTTCTTGTTATTTACATGTTCACAATGTTATCCATAGGATTTCAATCCTATGTGAATATCAATGATATCTATGCTTATTTTACCTTAAGCATGCTCATATTTATGTTTAGCCTTATCACTAGATCGCTTCTTATTGTGTATGTCATGTTTATTGTCCTAATATTTTGGATTAAAATATACCGAATTATGACCAAATTTCCAACAGAATCAAGGTAGCCGGGATATCATCCTAGTCCAGTAATTCGGCCCCAAGTTCTAGCGGTTCCGTCTCAATCATTTTTGCCCACCCTAGAGGTTATGTTACCCTAGTGGTTTCAACAGGCCAACAGGGTATGTTATGGGTATGTTATGTTAGTTCTAACGGTGCCGTCTCAATCAAACCTCAGTTTATAGATCAGTCGGACATGTGTAAAAACCGATTGTTTTCTTTGAGAAATAAGTTCATCTAAGGTCCCTGAACTTGTCAACGAATTCGATTTTCATCCTCGAACCTCAAAACCAGATACAATGGGTCGCTCAACTATCAAAACCGGTGTAGATAAGGTCCCTCGACGGTTTAGATGGTGGTTTTGGCTGACGTGGCGCCTACATGGCTATTTTGACTCGGTCTTCATTTGACATGGCGCTTACGTGGCAATTCGATCCAGAAAAATAATAAAACTCATGGGACCCACATGTCAGTTACACAAAAAAAATAAATATGGTGGGGCCCACGTGGGCCGCATATGTCATTCTCACCCTACCCTTCTTCCTCATCTCTCTCTATCTCCCCTCTCTTCATCTCTCTCCCCTCTCCTCTCTCTAGGTGCCACGGGACGAGGAGGTTCGGCGGCTGGCGGCACGGCGGCGGCTGGCGAGGCGGCGATGGTGGCGGCGCAAGAGAAGGGGAGGGCATCGGCGGCGGGAGCGCTGGGCAGGTTGGGGGTAGTGCCACGGGTGGTTCGGCGGCCGACGGCACGGCGGCGACGGCGGTGATGCAAGAGAAAGGGAGGGCGTCGGCATAGGCAAACGGCGATGCGCTGGCGGCTGGGGATGGCGATGGCGGCAGTGAGCTCGGCGTAGAGGAAGTCGACGTTGGGGCGGGACTTGCGGAAGGTCACGGCGCCAGGGGAGGTGGTCGGAGTGATTGAGACATGGCGAATCCACTCGTCTCCCTCCCCACCTCTACCCATGGGCCGTGGCGACTCCACAGCAGGCTCCCCCCACCCCCCGTGCGCTCCCCCTCCTCCACGCGCACCCCGCCCTCCGCGCCCCTCCGTACGACCCCCGTCTCCGGAGCTCCCGCCTGCCTCCGCTTCCGTGGGCGCCACACCGCGTCGGCGTCGGTCTCGGACTTCGACATCGGATTTCCATGGGAGGGAGAGGTGCCGCTCACCACCGCCTCCGCTGCTGGCTAGGAGGCGTCCTCCCGCGAGTCCGCTGCCACAGCGTCGCCGCGGTGGCATTCATGCCGCTCCCCCCACCGCGCTCCATCAGGAGCCGCGCCATGAAAAACGAAGGAGGAAGAAGAGCAGCAGCAGCCGCATGGGATTTAGGATGACATGTGGGAGCCACGTGGGCCCCACCATTTGTTATTATCTTTTGTGTGAAAATGACATGTGGGTCCCATGGGTATTATTATTTTTTCAAATCAAATTGCCACGTAAGCGCCACGTCAATGCCACGTCAGATGAAGACCGAGTCAAAATAGCTACGTAGGTGCCACATCAACCAAAACCATCATCTAAATCGGCGAGGGACCTAGTCTGTACCGGTTTTGATAGTTGAGAGACCCGTTATATCTGGTTTTGGGGTTCAAGGACGAAAATCGGATTCGTTGAGAAGTTCAGGGACCTCAGATGAACTTATTCCTTTCTTTGATCTCTTCCACGTTAATCTTCTACGTTAGTTAGCCAAAGTACTTGGAGTTTGGCCCATTCAAGATCCAGCCCACCTCCATATGCAGGCCCATTATAGATCCAAGAGTATTCATATACCTAATTTTTTTAATATATAAATATATATACTTTGAATGTCGCATATGTATTACCTCCTATTCTACCCCTAATCACCATCCCAAATCCAACTATATATTATTTATTAAGAGATATTATAGTCTTTTTCTCCTAACATTAATATATGCTAAACAAGCTAACGACAAATATTCTGAGGCGGAGCTAGTAAAAGATAAAATAAATAAGAACGCTGCTATACATACGACTCCAGCGTTCGACTGGCGTCCGACTCTGTTACGGTATCACTACGCATGTCAGATTCTATTACGGAGTGAGACTTTTGCCGTCTGTGCCTTTCCTTGTGGCCAGAGTCATACAGGTAGCCGGACAATAGGTCGTATGTATATCATTTTCGAATAAATAAAGCCTCAAATAGCCCAATAAGTAAGCAAACTATTTTTCTTGGGCTCCCACCTCATTAGGCACGGAGCAGGCGGCGGCCGGTGACTCGGGAGGCGGGCAGGCGGCAGGCGGCAGGCGGCGGCGGGCGCGCGCAGCTGCGGCGCTCCGAGCTCGCTGCTCGGGCTCTGGCGCAGGCGGCGGCGGCGCAGGCTGGCTGCAGGGAGGCCGGGACGAAGGCAGGCCGTGGAGGAACGGCGGCCGCAGCAGAAGTGCAAAACCCATCGGAGGGCCAGCGTCGCCGAGCCGGCAATGGCAGCGCGAGCCGCTCCGCCACCATGCCTCCACCACCCGTTCCCACCATCTCCACCCTCTCAGCGCTCCTCGCTGGCTGCGCCTCCCTCAGCACCGCCGCCGCGCTCCACGCCCACCTCCTCAAATCCTCCCGCCTCTTCCGGCCCGTCTTCCTTGCCAACTGCCTCGCAGCCGCCTACTGCCGCCTCGGCGCTGCCCCGTCCGCTGTCGCCGTGCTCCGCCACGCGCCGGAGCCCAACATATTCTCCCGCAATATCCTCCTCGGCGCCATGCTCAAGTCCCGCGATCTCCTGTCCGCGCGCAGGCTGTTCGACGAAATGCCTGACAGGGATGCCGTCGCCTACAACTCCATGATGTCAGGCTACATTGACGGTGGGCGCAACAATGAGGCGTTAAGCCTCGTTTGGACGATGTTGGAGGCAGGCGTCAGGCCTAGCGGCTTCACCTTCTCCATTATTTTGTCAGCTGTTCGGGTTGCTCGTCATGGGGTGCAGGTCCACGCAGCTGCTGTCCGCCACTGTTTTGCACATCAGAATTCTGTAGTCGGCAATGCACTCATCAATATGTATCGGCGTGTCGGCCTCTTGGAATATGCAGTGCAGGTGTTTTGGAGTATGAATGGACATGATATTGTTTCTTGGAATTCCGTCATGTCAGTGTACAGGGATGATGGCCAGAGACGTCAGGTTTTTGAGTGTTTCCGGATGATTAGGAGCCATGGATTATTTTTTGACGAGTGCAGTTTGTCCACAGTGCTCAGTGCATGCATAGATGCTGAGGATTCGTCTAAGGGTGACCAGTTGTTGACCCACTGTGTCAAAATGGGGCTCCTTAGAAATTCTCTCATTTGTAGTGCTGTTATTGGCCTATTATGTGCATCTGACAGACTTGCTGATGCTGTTTATCTTTTCAAAGGAATGGCAACATGGGACTCTGAAACGTGTAATGCAATGATATCAGGCTATGCTAGGAGTGGATTAATGGAGCAAGCTCTGGGTCTTTTCACGATGGCACTGCAAAATGGTATTCTTCCAACTGGGTTTACTTTTGCGAGCGTGCTGAGATGGAGTTCATGTTTTGGTTTGGTGGAACAAGGCACTCAAATTCATGCCCTGATTTTTAAACTTGGCCTTGAAGATGATTTAATCATTGCTACTGCGCTTGTTGACATGTACTGCAAATTAGCTTCCTTGAAACATGCCAAGAAAATCTTCAGCAGGGTTAGTTTCAAGGATTTGGTATTGTGGAATACAATGATCATTGGTCTTTCACACAATGGGAGAGGTAAAGAAGCTCTTCAAGTGTTTCGGCAGATGTTGAAGTGTAATATCCAACCAGACAGGATTACACTTTCTGGTGTTTTATCTGCTTGTAGCTTTGAAGGTCTTGTAAATGAAGGAATAAAAATGGTTTCCCTATTTGAAGACAAATACCATATTGTTCCTGGTGTGGAGCACTACACATGTGTTGTTGACATGTTAAGCCGTGCAGGAATGCTTGGAGAGGCAGTAGATTTTGTAGAGAGCAAGTTGCAAAAATGTATTGTTGCTGCTTTATCCAATGTTCTTGAGGCCTCATTGATCAAAAGGGACTTTCGCATGGCAGAATTGATTGCAGAAAAGATGACGAAATTGAAGCCTCGATCCTCACTACCGTATGTTGTTCTGGCTCAATCTTATGGTGCCAGATGTAAGTGGGAAAGCATGGCCAGGATGTGGAGGTCAATGGAAGATCAGGGGTCAAAGGAAGTTCAGGAATGTAGTTGGATCTGTACCAAGAATCGAATCCATGTGTTTACTTCTGAACAAATATTGCATCATGGTAAAGAGGCTACATATGCAGTGTTAGATCTGTTGTTTTGGGACATGATGGAACACAGATATGCTCCTTGCTGTTTTGAATTTATATCACAAGAAGAGCCCAATAACAATGAGACATCAGCTTGTCATCATCAGCTGTTCTGTGATTATTCTCCATGAGGTATATGGATGAAAAACCTACATTTTTATTGAGATCATCTCTTATTTTCACCAATCTAAATTTAGGTTGATAAGTATTATTCTAACTTTATGGTGGCAGAGATAGAGATAGAGATAGAGAGAGAGAGAGAGAGAGATAGATAGATAGATAACTTTAGTAAATAAAATGTTATCGTACAAATCAAAACTACTTTTCTCACCATACCCTCAAATCTGAATCTATTTTTTTAGTTGATCTTAACCTAAATTTAACATGGCACATGGCTGGGTTTCTGGGAACAGAAGCTGGAATGATTTAAAACTCCGGGTGTGGCTTCAGTTTTGACGTTGGTTACTAAGCCATAGTCTACCCTATAATTCACCAACACATTCTTACATTCCTTATTCCTCATTGATCAGTCCGGATCGTCTCACTGAGATCAAACGCCTCTCGTTGCTCCCACCTCTCCATCTCGCAAACCAATGGATCCCTCTCCCCACGACTTCCCCTCTCTGCCCGAAATTTGACCTTCTATCCATATTAGCCGTCGCCCATGCCATCTCCTCCTCTCTCTCTCTCGCCGCCCGTCACTTCCCCCTCCCGCGCTGCCGCCATCACCAATCTGGAAGCGCTGCTGCTACCACCGGCGCCGCGGATCAAGCGATGCCTCGTCGCCGTTGGGTCAGGGGCGACATCGCCTCTCCGCCGTACTGTCAAGGGCGCCTCCTTGTCGCCCTAATCCCTCAGCCGCCGCCATCTCCGCCAACGAAAGATCGGTGCTTCGAGTGGCTGGCGGCCGCGCCCTAACCACCGTCCCTGTGCAACAACCACAGATCGCCACCTTGCCGTCTTCTAGGCGGCACATGTCAGGTTGACCACCTCCTCCCTCCCCCTTAGCCGTCGGCGCCGCCAATCTCGCCTCCTCTGATGGGTCATCCTCTCCTGATCTTCTCTCGGGGCAACTTAATTGAATAATGGGTACATGTGAATTGTGAACGTTGCTATCATGAAACAAAGGCTTTATGAAGCCAGGTGGCGGATCAAGCCAAACTGGACCGCATTAGAGGTACAAAGACATTCTCCCTTTTCTCATCTGAATCCTGAGATGAAATCAGTTCGAATTTCGGGGAGATTGCCAAATATGTCCTATTGCATCTGTCTAGATTATTGCATATCTGTGCGCAGTACGCATCTGTAGTATAGATTAAACTTTTGGTAGCATATATAAGTTGGATCTCATATGATTAAATGGTTAATCTGATATATAAGTATTCTGCTTTGGTTGCCTAACACCTTTTTATCCCTTCACAAAAATGCCTCTCAAGTCTTTGTTATGATTTGTATAAGATTGCAACTTGGATTTGAGACACTACTCTATGTAGCAATTTACATGGTGCACTTCATTATTTTTGTTTTGACTGGTGAAACCGGGCCTCACTAATTGAAGGAATAACATATAGCTCTGCTGTGCTTGTGGTCCCCCCCTGTTGGAGCAGGTCCGCCATGGATCTTGAGCCGTGCTCATTGAGGGGATGCAGTTAGTGATGGAGTTAGAACAGGACTTAAAGGTAATAATCAAGTTAATCAGTGTCTTCCTTGCATTTTTCAATTAAACTGTAACTTCATTCACTGCAATTACATTCACGTTTTAAGCTTGGTTTTCTCATCATTTTTAATGAAGACTTAACTTGATTTTTGTGCAGCACTTTTTTTTGCAAGGAGAAGGGCAGTGGAAATCAGGGCAAGGAGAAAGGCAGTGGATTGTTCCATTTTGATTTCTCAAATTCCGACTTTATATTTCAGAAGAATAAACATTACTTCCTCTCTTTTTCTAAACAGGATCTCGCCATTCCTACCGTCGCACTACAAATTCAGGATGTTGCCAAGCCTCAGGTTGGAATGAATTGTAGCTGCCTCTGACTTCACTGAACCTTACGACATGTGGTCAGGTTCAATATCGCGCCTCCTCCCCTTTTCAGTTCCCATGCGCTATTGCCTAATGATTATCTAGATTCCCGTATGCACATTGCACGGTAGGCAATCGATGTAATGCTTACTCAGGGCAATTATATCATTGTAGCTATAGGTAATTAATGATATCATCTCCAGTGCAATTTGGTTCTCCTCGCCATAGAGTGGCTCCATTTTTCATACTGATAGACAGTGAATAGGTGAGCAGTGGAGTGCGGAATGCAAATATGACTCACTTGATTATCTAAAAAAAAAACTCTACAACCAATTCATGATGGTCGAACTGCTGAGTTGGTCACCGCTCTCCATTAGATCACCAACAGTAGTCAGATTGCTGAATCGCTGTGCTGAAATGAAAATTAAAAAAAATGATATTGTTGTTTTTAATATTTACTGGGCCATCTGAAATTTACAATCCTGAAGTTTACATTGTTATTGTCCCTTGTCGCTATAATTTGCTTCTTATATGAGTGCTTAAGTGAATTTATTACTAAACAGTACATTTAATTTCAGTGTAAAGTATCAATCTATAATTTTATTGGATTTTCGTTTCTAACAACTGAAGCTCATTTGATGATCAGTGGTTAAGCTCATGTGTTTTTTCCCCTCTAGGATTGAGTGATATGTGCTAATTGTTTGTTATATGCCATTTACACCAGTGAGTTAACAGATTTTTTGTATGATTAAAATTCAGGCCTTAAATTTAACCAGCTCTTGTCTGATGATCGGATGAAATTGGCGTGTGCCTTGTTTTTTCTTGATGGATGGACTTATCCCGTCCTGTAATCAGAGGATCAAATGATAAGTACATAAAAGGAGGCACAAATCACTTTTTTGTTCTCGATTACGTAGGAGATTTGCCCATCATTTTGTAGAGAGGAAGCATATATATCCTTTACTCAATCAGGTGGATCAGTGGCTCATGTTAGTAACTGGATTCTGATGGACAAATGAAAAGATCAGTGGCTGGATCAATAACAAAAGCAGTATATTCCAAGATGCAAAAAAGTTTTTCTTATTTCTTGAATTTTGTATCCATTTAAACCTTTTTAGGTCTTGATACTGTTTGTTCTCAATCCTTTTACACATAATTTGCATGAAAAAAACAGTGACTGACTATACTAATTTCTATCAGAAAGTGACGACTGTTGAGCTTGTTGCGTGCCATACATCAAAATGGGAAAATTGGGGGAAGCAGTAGACAAGTTGCTCTGCTGTGTATTAATGAACCAGTTAACAGTAGGCATGATGGAAAGATTCGGGAAATATGACGAGATGCTTGAACCGGGATAGCCCTCTGCCATGGGATAATTGGAACCTGTGCAGCTGTGCTACTGGTGAGCTCAGGATAAGGCATATGCAGCTATACGTACGTTGCGAGATAAAGGCAGAGGTACTATGACATATATTACTTCTCACAAGTTAAGAAGTACTATCTGTTTATCTTCTCCATGCATCACATTTGCTGATAAATGAGTAATATGAAGCACTTGCAAAAAGTGTGCTCTATCTGGCTTTATTACTATCATATAAAAAGTTAAAGAAAATGGTGATCATTTTAGAGATAAGGAATATATTCATGTGGGAATTTCAGTTTTTGGTAGACTATTTTAAAGACAAATAGTGACTCGTTCCATTGCTTGACATGAACAACTGACTGGTGTATGAATGATCAGCATTGTCAGTCATATTTTCTACCTATGTACCTGTTCCAATAGATGCAACTTGTGAAATCAAAATTTTCTTCCATGTTTACATGTTCCTCTATTGATTTTTTTTTCTGGATTGTAAGATACTACTACTAGATATTTTGTGTTTTCCCTTATGAGCTCCACCTCCACTTATGGCCAGTTTTTTTTTGAGGGAATGCCATTCGGCTAGCTTTATTGATCATTAAACATTGTTACATCGTTTGCCAAAGTGCTTAGAATATAACCAGGAGGTTCATCGACCCAAGTACACTTATGGCCAGTTACTTACACTTATTTTCCTCTATTTGTCTCAGAACAGATCAGTGTGTTATAAGTTTTAATTAAACTGAATTGGGGAGATTGTGTGAAGTGCAGGGAAGGGAACAGTATTCTCTTTATCGAAAATCTCTGTTGATCCTGAAGAATGGTGATATGTACGTTTGACTCGCGCTTATTTATTGGCATGGCTTTGAACAAGTGAAATTTGATCAAAGATTCAGTAGTGAGAATATGGGAGATATGCTATGAAGGGACGACATGCGAGTTATTTGTGTCCAATTCACACATGATTTTATCTATCTTGAACTTTTTTTGTCCGGATGTACAAATGTCCATTATGGAGGAAACCGTGTACTATTGCCTGCTCATAACATTCTTTACTGCTAGGTGAAACCTCTAGCATTACTGCGGGAGTTTAGTATGATAATAATAAGTAAAAATAATATGTAAAATAGCCTAAACAACATAAGCTTACGTAAGTTGATGTGGTTTATGATAATTTAAATATAAATAGTATATACAATGATGATTCAAATGTAAAAGTAAGGTGATGTGGCTTTATGAGAGAAGAAAAAATGAGATAGTTTTGACTATAGATTAATCATCTAAGGGCTAAAAACAAGAGAAAATTGACGTGATATGACTTAATGAGAAGAAAAGGAGAGAGATAATTTGGACTATAAATTAATCATCTAAAGACTAAAAGCAATTGATGTGATATGGCTTAATGAGAAAAGAGAAAAGTAAAATTAACTAAGGATAAACTATATAGGTATATAGGATATTATAGGGTAGATGATCATTTAACATGCTTGCATTTTAAAAGCTCTAAAATTTAATAATTATAAAAATATAGATAATATAGCATGCTTGCGATGTTTAAATGTAATAATTGTAGTGGATGATGATGTGGCATCTTTACATATTAAGCTTTAGAATTTAGTTGTAAGATAGGATTCACATGCCATTTGGCTCGCAACTATGTTGGATAGTTTTTCTTTTGTGCGACATTAGTTTGATGTGGACACTTACGATGTGAAGAAAAACATTTGTGGACTAAATTTCTTGTGCATCTATGGAATTATTACAATTTTGAAACATGTCATTTTCATTTCAAAATATAATCGTAGCGTTAGCACATGCATATTACTAGTAGTTATGAAGTTGAGTTATGTAGTTCTGTAATGTTGAGGTTTGTTTTTTAGTGAACAATTATGGTGTTAGTTATCAAGCCATCCTTTTTTGGTTTTGGCGAAACTTTTGTCCTAAGGTACTGTGTTTTATCCCTGCCTTGAGAGTTTTTTTTCCTTCATGCTGTTCAAATCCCTGTTATGATGCCTATAGAAAGTAAGTACTATAAATAGTAAGGAATGCCTATAGAAAGGAATAAGGAGCGGTAATGCAATAAGGAATTATTCATTTTAGGCACATGCGCCCATAATGTTCCATTTAATCTGAATCCTTAAGTCTGAACACTATGCCGGAACTTGGCAATTGCATACTGGATGCATCTTTGGATGTAGAGGCTGGATTAATATCAATTATTTAAAAACTTGGCAATAGCAGAATTTCATAGTTATGTGTCTGCATATAGAACAGGTTAAATAAAGGAACACACATATATAACTAATACCAAAGCCGCAAGGGTTCTTTTTCATAGGAATGGAAAGTCGAGTTTAGAGTGTTCTGAATGTTATGTGTAATTTAGAAGTGCTGCCAAAAAAAGAAAAGAAAAACTACATCTTTGTTTATCCAGGGTCAAACTGATCTGTAGAACTGTGTTGAGGCCATCCGGTCCAGGTGATGCATATCTCTTTATCCCTTTCAGTTTCTTCAGGATTTCATGTTCATCTTCGATAGATATAGTCGATCCATCTTTACTGACTTGTATCACTGAGTAGCAACTAGAATCTGTTCATCATTGAATCAGTCATCGCCAATCTGCAGTTACATGCCATGGACTCTTTTTCTGGCCATTGGAACAATTTTCTTTTGTTGCCCTTGTAACGCAGAAGTGCTTTTGATGGTGCAGTCTTCATCGAGCATTGATTCGCCTTTTCACTTGGTCACCCGTGGTGACTACTCTGCTGCCATGACCCCCTATCCGGCTATCCACTAAACTCACTCACCATGGGTGACAGAGACATTCAGTAGTAGATGAACAACACAAGATATGGGCCTTCCAGGTCAATAATCATTGAGAACGACAGGTAATTCAATAAAATCATATTGCAGTTCCGATTCAGTGAAATTTCATTACACTTTCATTTGTGTAGCAGTGTGTGTCATTTTGATTAAGGATTTTGAGGCAATGAGCCCATAGATCATAATATACATTCCCTAATGCTGATGGTGATTTGCCCTGACAAAAAATTGGAAACCCAGGTTTGTCACAACTTAGTTTGACCTGCCATGCAGACTATAGCTGATACCTGGTTGCTCATATGCCGAACACAATTCCAGTTGATTTACTTCTTGACCAACACATGTATTTAGATATAATTGATGTGTATAGCCATTTGTGAAAAAGGTTTCCGTTTTGTGTGCATCATTTAGAGAACATACCCTGTTCAAACCACACTGCACCTTTGGTTTGTTATATTTTTCCATTCATTTGCCAGATTTTTTTTGTTTCTGTTAATGAAGGCAAGAAACACATTTAGATAAGTTTGTTGTACTACTTACGAAAACCATAATCAACTTTTTTTATCAGTACATGCAGGAGATAAATATGAACTTGTTCCTTTAGATAATGGTATGTGTGACATGAGTTTAATATCTGGTGGATTCTTTCTTCCTAGCAGATGGACAGATTAAGAAAAAGGTACATTTTGAACTTCAGTATGTAAACTTCATACGCAGATGTGTCAAAATTCTCAAAGTACTTCATTGCACCAGTGGAGTTACATATTTTGACAGAGATTTCTAAACCTGCAATCATCAAATCTGAATGTGTAACAAAATCTAGGACGTGATGTAGCTGCTTCCAAGCATATCAGCAGAATCATGTTGAGGACATTTCAGGCTTCACTTTAAATTGCTCATGTCTCTGGTTTCTCTTAGGGACTTTTCATAGTTAAATCAATAAAAGAACTGCAAACAAAAAATTCCTGCATTTTTGTACTAATAAGAATCCTTGGTTGTCAATCTTCTGAAGCTGGAGCTGACACGTGTCAGTTTTAGGTGGAGGACGACCTCTGCAGGTGGGACCGGACTAGCAGTGAGAGGGAAATGGTGAGCCGGTGAGGATGGCCTGGAGTGGAGCAGTGAGTTTCTGTGCAGTGCAGGGTTTTTGGCTGACATGGGTTTGCCGTGGCCAATGTTCTGCCCAGCAGAAGGCAAGAAGGTCTTTAAGCTCGACTTTTTCAACACAGGTCCTCTGCGAATTTCTACAGGTGGCTACACAAGTTTAAAATTATGAAACTTCCATTGGCTTAGGAGTCACTAAGGAGCACTCATGATTTTTTCTAGAATTTTTAGAACACTACAGAAATCTGGGCAAAATTCTGAAGTCCTCAAAACCAACTTAGTTTTTTTAGGGAATCCTTCGAAAGGGCAGGGAGCCCCTGTGATGGTTAATTAACCAGGAGACCAGGACCTTTGATGGTACATGGTAGTTCATATCTCATAATTAACCATGTTTAGTTTGGTTGTACACACTTGCAGTGAAGTACTCCTACAATGATTCAAATGTGGACAATTGTAGAATTTGCCAGACTCTAGTATTCATTTATTGATTGATGTAATAACTTTGTGCTCTCTCCGTTCCATAATATAAGGGATTTTAGGTAAATGTGACATATCCTAGTAGTTGTGACATATCCTAGTACTACTAGACAAGTACTAGGATATGTCACATTTACCCAAAATCCCTTATATTTTAGGATGGAGGGAGTAGATACTAAATCACAAATGCCCTTCATCTTTTTATTTGAGACTTTTGCTGTAATATACTCCGTTCCCTAATATAGATTTTGACATTTTGCTTGCACCTTTTGACTATTCGTCTTATTCAAAAAATTTTGGAATCATTATTTATTTTATTTGTGACTTACTTTATTATCCATAGTATTTTAAGCACAATTTTTCGTTTTTTATATTTGCACAAATGTTTTGAATAAGACGAGTGGTCAAACAGTGCAAGCAAAATGTCAAAATCCCTTATATTAGCAGACGGAGAGGGAGGGAGTAGTATCTTTTGCTGTTATTTTCTGCCATCAGACATGTATGTGTGCTCCTTACCATTCTTAGTGACGTAGGTTGTACGTGCACCTTGACAAGTTTAGGTTACAATATGTGCCTTCGGACATTTGTTACCAAAAAGTCGTACAGTACTGTAGTTTTAGCTTGCATATGTGCCTTTGGAGTTTGGGCATAGGTTACGAAGAAGTCATACAGGACTGAGTTTTTCAGAAAGCGCGCGGCCGCGTTTTCAGAAAGCGCCTGCCGAAGCTTCTCACTTTTCATTCCCGACAGGGCAACTTCTCTCAGTTTGTTCTTGGGCCTGTTATTTAAAAAGGGCTGGTGAGCTGGACCCATTACATATTCCCATGTAATTGAGTATGCCAATAAAAACTAATACTGGTTCTCCATTCTTTTTTTCAAAAAAATAAATTTCAGATAACGCCATATTTTAGGTCGGGTTATAACTCGACTTTTGAATTATAACACCAGGTATTATGGTATTACCTAAAACCCCATCTCTGTACATATAGGGCATGCCTTTGATTAAAAATTTTATAATATAGGTCGTCCTTGCTCAAAAATATACAAGAAATTTTCGGCGATGGGTTAACCCTCATCAAAAAAGTTAGATTTAGGCGGTGAGCCTCAGCAAGCCACACCCTTAAGGGTCTCTTTGAATCGCAGGGTTGAAAAAATAGAGAAATAGGAAAAACACAGTATTCTGATAGAAATTGATAATTAGTTCACCGAAGTAGTAGGGCGCGACACGCGTGTACGTTGCGATAGATGTGGGTTGTTTTTGGTGTATGCGCATGCGTACTGCAGGCTTGTTTATCGGATGTGACGAGGTAACACAATCGTGGCAACGCGCCAACGTCCTCCGATCCTCCAGGTCACCAGGTGCACTGCACTGCACGGCGAACAACGGCTCGCGCGCTAGCTATCTCCCCAAAATGGCAATTTGGCAAATGCCCACCGCGCACCGCACGGACCGGACCGGACCGAGTCCATGTTGGCTCCACGTACGGAATCCAGCCAGGCGCCAGTTGGGCACCCGCCGCACGTGTCGCGCGCCCACGCACCCCCTCACGTGACCCCCGTACGCGCCGGGCCCCACCGCACGTGTCACTTGAACCTGTACTACGTACTATATATACTCCTCCCGAGCAGAGCAACCCGAAGCAGAGCCCACTGGTGTAGTGAGAGTCACCAAAAAGGCCAAAACACAACATCACCGTTGATCTCTGATGGAGTCCGACGCGTCGACCTCCCCGCGCCGGAGTGACAGCAGCGACTCTTCCACCTGCTCCGACGGCGATGACCTCCTGTCCTCGTCGTCCCCCAAGGGCACGGGGATACACCGCCTGCCGCCGCTGCCCTGCGCCACCGATGGCGCCATCGCGGCCCTGGTGGAGGAGCTCGAGTCGCCCGCGTCGTCGCTGGACGACCTGCGCCGCGCCGCCATGGAGCTCCGCCTGCTGGCCAAGCACAGCCCGGACAACCGCCTCCGCATCGTGGCCGCGGGGGCCCTGCCGCCGCTGGTGGCGCTGCTGTCCCGGCCGGACCCGCTGCTCCAGGAGCACGGCGTCACCGCGCTGCTCAACCTGTCGCTCCGCGAGGACAACAGGGGCGCCGTCGTGGACGCCGGCGCGGTCGGCCCGCTGGTGCGCGCGCTCAGGTCGGCCGCGTCCCCGGCGGCGCGCGAGAACGCGGCCTGCACGCTGCTCCGCCTGGCGCAGCTGGACGGGTCAGCGGCGGCGGCCATCGGGCGCGCGGGCGCCGTGCCGGTGCTGGTGTCGCTGCTGGAGTCGGGCGGGGCGCGGGGCAAGAAGGACGCGGCGACGGCGCTGTACGCGCTGTGCAGCGGGGCCCCGGAGGAGAACGGGCCCCGCGCGGTGGAGGCCGGGGCGGTGCGCGCGCTGCTGGAGCTGATGGGCGAGCCGGAGCGCGGGATGGTGGAGAAGGCGGCGTACGTGCTGCACGCGCTGGTGGGCACCGCGGAGGGGCGCGCGGCGGCCGTGGCGGAGGGCGGCGTCCCCGTGCTGGTGGAGATGGTGGAGGGCGGCACCCCCCGGCACAAGGAGATGGCCACGCTGTGCCTCCTCCACGTCTGCGAGGACAACGCCGCCTACCGCACCATGGTCGCGCGCGAGGGCGCCATCCCGCCGCTCGTCGCGCTCTCCCACTCATCCGACGCGCGACCAAAGCTCAGAGCCAAGGTACGTTACGTACTACGTACTCCATCATCAATTCGTCATGTCATGTGTGTTCGTTTCTCATGGAATGGTGGATTTTTTTTTTTTGGCAGGCAGAGGTGTTGGTCGGGTTGCTGCGGCAGCCGAGGAGCGGGAGCCTGTTGCGGGCGCGGCCGTCGGTGGCGGCTTCAAGGTTGCCGGCCGGTCTCTGTAATTAGGGGATGTTTGGTTAATGTATAGCCTTGTCATAACTAAGTTTAGGTTAGTTGAGGGATGGTGGCACTAGTGTGGCTTAGAAATAGTTGATCATAAGTGTGGCAAAATTAGCTTTAAATTTGAATTTGAGAGTATGGCATGTGGGTCCCAGGCTATAAAAGTGTGGCATGACATAATTGCTATAGCGAACCAAACACATACCTAAGAAATTGTGGTATAACTAAAGTGTAGCGTGGTAAAGTGTGGCAACCAACCAAACAGTCCCTTAGTACTAGCGTATAATATTTACTAGGTGTGTATTATGTAAATAGTATTACGAGTATCTCATTAGGCCATTCCAACCCTCCTTGTCATCCAGTGTCCATAGTATTAAATACATTACCACATAAGCAAAAATATAATGTGGCAATAGAGTTAATGAGAAGAGAGGTAAAAAGATGAAGAAATCATTTCTCATGTAAGAAACCATCTCTATACAATAACTAAGAATGAAAATTATAGGATAAGTGGATAAAAGGTAAGAATGAAAATTATAGGATAAGTGGATAAAAGAAGAGAGAAGAGAGATACTTGGATAGGAATTTAATTTGAAGATACCATCCATTATAGATTCTACATATAGTGTCAAGACATGGCAATGGATCATCTTATTCAAAAATTTCTCTTCATCCAATCATCTCACTTTCCATACCTAGACAACTCCCTTTCCATTCAAGACATGGCAATGGATCATCTTATTCAAAAATTTTTTGAATAAACTATCAACTCCCTCCGTCCCATAATATAACAGATTTTGATATTTTGCTTGAATTGTTTTGTTTGACCACTCGTCTTATTCAAAAATTTTGTGCAAAAATAAAAAACGAAAAGTTGTGCTTAAAATACTTTGGATAATAAAGTAAGTAAAAAAATAATTCTAAAATTTTTTTAATAAAATGAATGGTCAAACAGTGCAAGCAAAATATCAAAATATCTTATATTAGGGGATGGAGGGAGGGAGTACGAGATAATATTAGGATGGAAAAAGTACGAATTACCCCCCTCCCCTCCCCCCGAAGTATCGCGGTCGTCCGAATTACACCCCTGAACCACGAAACCGGACATTCTTCACCCCCAACTATGCAAACTGGACGAATTACCCCCCTCAACCCAATCCGCGGTGGTTTGGTCTACGTGGCAATACAGTCAGCAATTTATTTATTAAAAAATAGGTGGGCCCCACCTGTCAGTCTCTCTCTTCTATCTCTCACTCTCTCTCTCCTCCTTAGACGGCGACAATGGAGGCAGTGAGCCGCGGCGGAGGAGGCATCGGCGCGGCGGAGGAGGCCACGACGCGGCGAGGCGAGGCGGGGTGGCGGCGGCGGCGGCGGAGGAGGCACGGCGGCGAGGCGAGTGACGGGAGCGGAGGAGGCGGCGGCGGAGAGGCGAGCGGCGGGGGCGGAGGAGGCGGCGGCGAGGCAGGGCGGCGCAGGGGCAGGCACGAGCGGCGGCTGGGTGCCGAGCGGCGGCGGTGGGGGCGGAGGAGGCGAGGTGGCAGCGGCGGCGAGGCGGTTGGCGGGGGGACAACGTCGCCGCGAGGAGGTGAGCGCGGCGGGGGAGGAGGCGA